AATATATTAACCAATTACAAGTTTACAAATTGTTAGAGACACAGATTCCCTAACAATTTGATACTGTAGATACTGTAAAGCCACAGAGGGTCTCTGACAGCTGTGTTATCATCCAAAATTTATGATATTTCTGTGCCACAATTGTTAAGGACACACACAGGTCAGTGGGACATGTCAATGGTTAAATTATGTATGTCTTGCTTCCTTTATTTTAAAAAGAACTAAAATGTTATTAAATGCTACTCTGGCTACTACCATGATAATTTAATTAAAGTAATTACTGAGTACACATGTTTAATATAATGGGATACAATAGTTATGCTGCAGTTACACTACCAGTCACTACCTGAATGTCTGAACTGCATTGCAATTGAAAAATTTTTAGTGCAGTTACAATGGAATTTGGGTGCAGTTGCTGGAACTACAAGTAAAAATGCGCGTGGGCAAGCCCGTCGGCAGGTGTGACTCAACCACAACGTAGCAAATATATATCACCATGCATTAATAAACGACAATAAAGTAATTGAAATAATTTGTTAATTATTTTAAAAGGTGCACCAGTACTCATTGGCAAATACAAATTACGTCTATGGGAAGGAAATATTGACTTCTACCCAGATTTCGATTTAAAAAATGCCACATCCATAACTTGGAAGTAACTACAATATGTGATGAAAATTTATGATGCGGAACCAACCACGCTTACACTCATGACTAACTATAAAAGCTATTGAAATACGATAAAATACACGATATATAGTTATCCTTTACCTACCTGTTTGCAACACGGCCTTGTTAAAACTTTACTGACATAAAATTTGGTAATGAGAACAACACTACACAAACACTATTTTGCACCTGAATGTAACTTATACTCACTAAAATATATCTAAATTGGAATTGAAAATATAAAAGTTTGTCGTAAAATGTAAGTTTATAAAATTTTCTTAAGAAACAACATTACAGTCGAAATAATGAAATTTAAAATTGCGTGCATGCGTCGACAACCACAAAGCAATCGCGTTCGGAAACTGGCACTGGCACTGGCAGGTCTTTTGACAGTTACTTTACAAGGTAGAGATGGGAAAAAATTTCGATATATCAAAATATCCATGTTTTTCATGAAATAATCGATGTATATCGTCAATACTTTTGAACTCGATATAACTCATATATTGGCAGAAATAATTTCAAAAACTGAGAAATAGAAAAGTTTAAAGTGATAATATAGCGGGTTGTTCCAAAAGTAACTTTTACAGAACAATTTTAAGAGGTCATAATATATTAACAGAGCATGGGAGAGAAACAAAATTGTATATATTTGTACATATTGTATGATGTATATCGTCAATATTTTTGAACTCGATATAACTGAAATCTATATTTTATGGTATCAATTTCGATATTTTTTATCGCAGCTACAGCAAATACTTTACGAATATTTGAAAATAATACTAATACATCTTAGTGCATAGCACATGGGAGGCTCCATCCATAAGTAGTAGGACTTTCAATGTCGCTGCATTTTCAAGTCCCGGGAATAAAATATTAAGACTCGGTGCGGTTAACAAGACTTTCGAGACTATTTCAAAAGTTGGATTCCGAATTTATAGGCTAGGCATTTGAAGTCACAACATATTTTAATTGAGTTCTTTATTAACTCAAATCATAAAATGAAAAATGATTTAACAAGGCATTTTTGTCACTTTTATGTTGATAGCGTAAGAAACAAAGGGCTTTTAATATAGTTTCAATTAGAGAGAACCTGATTTTGTTACTGCCGTTCTTTAATCTCCACAGACTATATTGAGCTCCACTCTATAGCGTTACCATGCCATGTACATGTAGAAAGAATAAAAAAAATAGTGTAGCATAGGTTTAGATTTCGAATAATTTTTGATAATTAAGTTATGTAAGTCTTAAGTATCAAAAGTTTGGATATTCCCGAGACTGACAACATCAGTCTTGAATCTCGAAAATGTAAAAAAATTGTCGAGACTCAAAATTTCCAAGATTAAGATTTCCGGTATGAAAGCCGTAATAGCGTCTGTTAAAGCGCATGTAAAAAATATCATGGCACAGTGAATACTGTAATGTATTGACATAATGTACCATAGACAATAGTCAATATATGTCACACTGCGGCCCGCCGTTTCCGCCATGACGACACGAGACAAAGGTGTGAGCGGGCGTCATAGTAACTCTTATTAGTTTGTGGCGGGCGTGTATCGCAGGTGAACGTGAAGCAACAAACGTTGTTTTATTGAGCTAACCCCCAACAAACGGCACGAATACTACTTTTGAACCAAATTGTTTTTTCATTTACACTATCGAATTCATCGCGTCAAGCATGGCTTATTTAGTAGAGACTAAATAAGCCATCTTGCGCCGTACAAATTTGTAAAAAACAACTCTCATATATCCAGTCTAGTCAAGGATGGAATTACGTCTCATATATTATAAGTTCATTTGTTGTATTAGTTACAAATTGTTTATATTTTAACATATTTTTACGATGATTCAATTATTATTCGCTTAATAATGGACCTTACGATCCACATTTTAGTTTTTAATTAACAAACGTCAAATCGTGGCATGAAAAATTACAGTACACTATCTTCACTTCTGTAGTCTATTGCTGTTCAAAGGCTAGCTTCACACTGTGCAACAATTTTGTCAATATTTCATATTGAAAATTGAGTATAAGTAACGCATAGAAGTTCTATCTATACATTTTATATATACGAACCATGCAAAGATCAAAATGGATTGACAGAGAAGTTGTAGCATTGATTATTTTCCACAATTTAATGTGTATGTGATTAAATGTGTGTATATACTTAAATGTTTCCATAGTTCTAGACACGTTTCTGTTTGTAACTATCGATGCAATATATATCGGTATATTTTTATCAGTTGCGCATCCCTAAAAGTTACAACTGACAGCTTACAGAACACACTTTCCTTTTTTTTTTTTTAGGCATTGGCAACTGGGAATGAGTGTAGTTATGTTTACGAAAACAAGGCAATAATGTAAAACCATTGACTTATGTAAAACTATTAAACATAAATAAGAAATCCAAAAAAAAAAAACTCAAAAAACAAAGAAAACGAATGAAGACGATAACCGAGAACAATAATTGATGCCTCTGGTATTCAAAACATTGGCAGCTACCAAAGAATAAACTTAGGAAACTGTTATTAAAATAGCATCCTGAGCCCAAAGCCCCTGGTGCTATTGCGCCAGTTAGATGAGTTAAAAGTAGAAAATAAAATGTTTATTTATATTTTCTTCCATATTAGATTTTTTTTCCATCCTTTGAGATACATAGCACATTGTATGTGATTTGGCTGGCGCCAGTGTTGGGCGTGTTAATCAATTAAATTTCAATCAGAAATTTGATTGATGAGAAATTTGATGCAATTAAATCAATTGCGACGCGTCGCAATTGATTTAATTGCTATTGATTTCAATTGAATTGATTTTAATTGCAATCAAATTAATTGCAATTAATTTTTTTAGTTGTTCTAAGAAATAATTGAAACTAACAATTAAAACCGAAAGTACCTAATAAAAGTGTCATTACGAATATGGGTTAGGGGGTCGGTTAGGTGGTCGGTTGGGGGGCCGGTTGGGGGCTTGGTTGGGGGGCCGGTTGGGGGGTTGGTTGGGGGGCCGGTTAGGGGTTCGGTTGGGGTGCCGGTTGGGTAAGGTGTGAGTGACCCACCCCCTATCCCATCCCACGCACACACCCGCTCACCCACCCACTCCCTAACCCACCCAACCCAAATCTAACCTCTAACCCAAACCCTAACCCCCTAACCCAAACCCTAACCCCCCCCATATGTCAGTTTTAATTGTTAGTCAAAAACATTGAAAAGATTGAAAATTGATTAATTGATAATTGTAGATATACGCAATTAACGATTGATCAATTGTTAGTTGCGAGAACCGCAATTAACAATTAATTAATTGTTATGCGTATGCGGTTCTCGCAACTAACAATTGATCAATCCTTAATTGCTGTTTCGCAATTGACAATTAATTAATTGTCAATCTTTAATTGCCAGGACAATTAAATTTTGGCCAACACTGGCTGGCGCTCGCCTTCACACGGTCATCTAGGCGAGCGACACCGAGCGATGATAAGGCAAGATAAATGGCGCATTTATACCGGGTCGTATGCCGACCTTCGGCAGACTACTTCGCCTGTTGAAGGCGACAAGCCATTTACACCGGGTCGTCTGTCGCCTTCGGCAGACTACTTCCTAAGGCGACTCACCCAGCCGAATTCGGCTGCAAACTACCGCTTACCGCTCAGACGATATAAACCGCCTTCGGCGACAAGCGACAATCGCCTGACGACTTGGTGTAAATGCGCCATTACAAAGTTCAATATTTCTTTATAATACATTGCCTTTGTATAGCGAAAAAAACTTAATTTAGTGGCTGTCAAAAATATTTTTCAATAAATAATCGCGAAAAGCCAAAAAGGAAGAAAAAAAAACTTCAACTATTCCTTTACTTTTTTCCATCCTCTAAGAAATAAGCAATCATCATCATTGATATCCATTTCAGATCCGACTTCACCAACACAATTTTGCGCTAGTCACCCATCAAGTTAGAGGATGGAAAAAAAAAACTCCAACTCACTTGGCATCACAATTATAATTTTAAAAATTCGACCTCAAAAGTTCGTACAATCACATCTATTTACTAAGTTTTATTGAAATCGGTTACCGGAATCGCGCAAAACCAGGTTCATCCCCTAGTTTGCCAGAGGTGGAATATTTTTTTTAATTAAAATGGGACCATTATTGAGGTGCCCCTTTTCCAACAAATTCGGTTCAAAAATGCTGGAGATAACGCGAATATACATACAAAAAAGAAAAATAAAAACATTCAGACGAATTGAGATCCTCTTCCTCCTTTTTGGAGTCGGTAAATTAATTAAACTACAATTTGATAATAATATAAACTTTAATGGAAGCCCCACGTGGTTAAAACAAAATAATAACAGCCTACGTTTACTTTAAATTCCTAAAATTAAAAATATATTCTTTAATTTTGTACTTTTCACTAATTCTTTGGAGGCCTAGCGCCAAAAATGTTTGAGCCAACTCGTACTGTAGTAGCTCCTAGTTCAACCTGAAAAAAAAATATCCATGAATTTTATAAACAATACAACAACAACAATATATTATTTATTGTTGTTGTTTGAATTTTATACTATTACTACACTATTAAATACGTAATTGGCCGCGCGCAATTCCTATTATTTAAATTTATAAGTTATATGCCTTACTCAACGCGGCCGCGGCTCAAAAATAAAACTAACCGCTATAGCTGCTATTGTTCGCGGCTACCCGCCTAGTGAATTATTACCTATTACTAACACCTAGATTTAGCAGGATAGAATTAAATTATGGAGTAAATAATTGCAACTGTCATTGTCATTGTTTTTTACGTTTCACGTCAATTCTATCACAGTAGAATCTTTAATATACAGGGTGGTCCAAAACTCAAAGTTATGCGGGCACCGGGTGAGAGGCCAGGTTATAGCAGTTCTGGTAAAAATAAAATAAAAATCCATGTCACTTATATAAGTGATACGTGGGGCGCACTATAAGTTTCCGTCAACGTTGTTCACCTTGAAAAATTCATTTGTCTGTCTGGCTGTGTGAGAATTGGCATTATCGTGGTGCAAGATGATATGGCGTTTACGGCTATTTTTACGGAGTTTGTCAATAACTTCCGGCAAACAAATGGTCGTGTACCAATCACTATTCAAGGTACAACGATTCTCCAAAGCAACAGTAGCCACGTGTCCCGTTTTATTAAAAAAGAAGCAATTATCCGCTTAGAGGCACTTTGCACGCGCGCCAGTTTCGGTCGGTTTAGGCTCATCTCGAAAGACCTATACGCTCGATTGCTGCTTTGTTTTGGGATCGTAACTATAAATCATGTTTCGTCACTTGTTACTATGTCCCACACCAAATTTGACGCCCCTTCATTGAATCTGGTAAGCATGGCATTGCACCAAGTGACGCGATCCGTTTTTTGAGCCTCAGTCAAATTGTGTGAGATCTACCGAGATCACAGCTTTTTCACACCAAAATGTTTGTGTAGTATTGATTGTATTTGACTCATGCCTATGCCTAAAGACGCCCGAATCTCATGGTATGTCACATGCCTGTCTGTTTTTTGATCATACGGCGCAAAGCATCGATGTTTTTGTTGTTCACAGCAGTGGACAGGCGAACATCACGAATTTCGTCACTGAGATTCACACGACCGCGTTTGAATTATGCAAACCAGCTATAAATAATCGTCTTGCATGGTGCTTCATCGCCAAAAGCAGTTTGAAGCCGAACGAAGCTCCACTGAGCTCTTAAGTTACACTTAAGTCGTAGAAAATCATACTACGAAAATTTTCACGAGTTAAATCCATGGTGATGTAGACAACCAATTTCTAAAATGACGCCACAATGTAAAAACAAGTGACAGTCAGATGAAACAAACTGCATTCTACAGCCAAAGAGTTCCATTTTCAAATGTTGTGATTACTTTTTAAATATTATTTATGTAAGTGGCCAGTTCCGGAAACTTATAGTGCGCCCTATGTACTAGACATATATTTAAAAATGTTGACAATCAATATCCTAGATCAATCTTTAGGTACTCTGAGCACACTAAAGTATTGCTTGCCATGGTATGAGTTTTTTGAAATGTGTCCTTTTGAAAAAAATGCAATAAATAAAGTACTCTCATCACAGATTTTAACATTTTGCGACTTTTTTTAGCCTAATCCTAAATACCCATGCTATTAATCGCAATCACAAATCAAGCAATGAATGTCGTAAGTTTAGTAAAAAAAAAATTAAGTTTCATTGAGTCATAGTTTAAAAAACGTCAGCTAACTTTGACACATCATATTTAAAAAAATTAAAGTAAATGGGCAAGTTACTTAAAAAGACGGCCCATTAAGTAAAAATTTAAAAATGGTACAATACTTGCCACTTTTCATTCCATAAAAAAATAATAATTTTATTTTTCAAAAGGACCTTATAACATAAAAGCATACCATACAATATAATAGTTTAGTGTGGTCAGAGCACTTAAAGATGTGGTCTATGGTTTCGATTTTCAACATTTACGAAAATATGTCTATTATAACTTAACTAAGTGGATTTTTATTTTATTTTAACCAGAACTCATATAAACTGGCCTCTCGCCCGGTGTCCACTTGACGCTGAGTTTTGGGATACCCTGTAAAATATATTGGCATCTCAGTTAATTCCAAGTTAATTTACCTCACCCGGGTATAAAGTTGGGTTATGGAAAAATAAACATTTAAAAAAATTACTTCAGTTAGTCAATTACCAAACTTACTTAATAACTACTTAGGCATGGCACAATAAGGATGTTAAAGGATGATAAAAATAATATATATATCTGATTCGCTCTATGTTGCATGTCATTCATCAAAAACAGTACTTACAGCCTGCTCAAAATCACATGACATCCCCATAGAAATTTCCACTTCATTGATATCTAGTTTCAATTTTTCGCAGACTTCTTTTCTACACTCGATCAGTTTCAGGAAATCTGGATTAGGGCCTAGAGACATATCATAGTCATACTGCCCTATGGTCATTAGGCCATTGAATTTTAGGCTTGGACAGTTCTTTAGCACGTATTCTACCATTGTGACGCTTTCAAAGGGTTCTATTCCGCTTTTTGCTAAAAAAAAAATATGTAAAAACACTTAATGTTGAAAATAAGCAAGTTTGAAAAATGATTATCACTAATTACAGGTTTCTTACCACAGTATGCCACTGCATTAATGTATATAAAATTAGAAAGAGATAGCGCTACGAAAAATGCAGTCCGAACATGGAGCAAGTAACCGTTCCCAAATATCTGGAAAACAAAAGGAACTCATACCAGAGTAAGAAAACTGTAATTGTTAATAATTGATCAATGTATTTATTATTATTATCTTTTCTAGACTCTCGCCTCTCCCAAGACCTAAAAAATTAATTTATTATTATTATTAGTGAAGTTTAATTTAGGGCTTATGCAACCCCTCATCACTGCAACACTAACTGATCTATAGTGATCACCACTAATTACAGTTTGGAGCAAAGGTCAACAGTATTAAAGAATTGAAGGAATTTCCAGGCTCTGACAATTTTTATGTCCTCTAGTTGTGGTGTGTGCCTTCCCTGGTATAACATCATTGTATTCTATCTTGGAAAAAATATAATATATAAATATAAGAAATTTTAAGCAAAGTGGCATGTACTTATTGCATTGTTTTAATACCATTATAGCTTTATGCTCATTAAAATTAGTCACCATTCACAAATATATTATTTCAGATCGAACATTTTAAAATGGATATTAATTAAGGGTAGACACATACCTTCTTCCCCACTGGTATTAACTTGTACCATAATATTCAACATCTCCTCGCCATTCCGAACCTTGGTCCATTGCTTATTCAAAGAATCCGCCAACTTCTTCGAATCAACGGTTTGAATCATGTACAACCTTGGAGCACTCAATAACTTATTTATTTTATTCGACTGCAAGTGCCCAATGAAATGCCATTTTATATCTTTGCATTTCTCGATGATTTGAGAGTCTGTTGCTTTTTCTACTAGTTCATTGACATAGTTCTCTCCAAAGTCACGTTGGCCAGCGTCGTATGCTTGTATTATGAGCGGTACTGGTTTTATTTTTGATACTGCCACTAGAGTTGGTGTTCTTTGGGGCAGGTCCTGAAAACAAATACTGCAAACATCTAGACCCGAAACAATATGGGATAGTTGCAAGGTGGATCAATGACGTAGTACACATCGCGGGGTGTCAATGGATGCGGCTGACACAAGACCATGATGGATTTTGATAACACATTAAAAATTCGAAATTTCCAATAAGATGTTGCTTAAATGCATTAAATATAACTACCTACAAATCACAGTACTCTTACTAGTTATCGATATTTTGTTAAAATAGCATGTGTCACAAAAGTAATTAATGAAAACGTCGTCTACGGATTGATAATAACTCTCAGATACAAAGCAATAAAGCGGTACAATTGAGTCATAAAGGTCGAAAGATAATCGTATTTGAACATGCAAAACTACGAGGAAAAGAATCACCCTTACTTTACTCCGGCGAGCTACAGCCGCCTCAATTTGGGTTAACACGGTCTTCAGCCCTTGCATTACGTCGATCTCCGGAGTTTTGACGTCGGACATTCCGTAATTATCAGGAATAAACCGGAATGTATTTTTTTGTGAACTGTCGTATTTATATAGTTATCACAGAGTGGTTTTGTGATACAATCGATAAACGCTCTTGATTTTGGTGCTCTAAACACAAAACAAACACATACAAAAACAGAACACTCATGCAAACATATCAAAGAGTACTTTGATACACTATATCTTTCTAATTTGTGTTTGATACCTAAACATATATCATAGTACGTTTTGTGGTTTTGACGTTTCGTAAGGTGTATGATCGTTTCATTTAGATTCCTTTCATTGACTCTAATAGTGAATAAGTATTTATTGATCGGTCATACATTATCTGAATGAGTATGACATATAAAACTAATAAATACCTTAGACATTTCATGCGGTTTTCATTTATTTAATTTGTTTACACATCAATGTAATTGTAATGACTTTGATAGTTTATTTTATAAAACGTGTATTTGACTAGTAAGCTCATAGTAAATAAATTACTGCAATATAATATTGTTAAATGAGCCGGTTTCTTTCAAAAATATGGACTTTAGTGTTTCTAACATATTTATTTTCAGATACTTTTGACCTTGAATCAAGTTTTTTCATGTAATAGACATGTCCCTAAGATTTGACATTTCCGTTTGCGTTCAAAAATGAAATTATTCTCACTGTCATTGTGACATGGTCAACCAATAATTTTCGTAATTAATTACTAAACGTAATTCCTAACGTCAACACGATTGATTTTCCTTCCGTTTGTTTGCATTCTCTGCGACGAAATTTCGTGGTATTCCAACATCTAATTGTTATGATCATGCACAATGCACCTTCCACACTGATCGGCTGATAAATCGCGGCCATGAACGTCCTGGAAAAGGCAGAAAAAGCCTTGGAATACCTTAAAAACGATGATGGTTCCGCGAAGTAAGTTTTGGTTGTTATCGATAATTTTTTTACTGATTAAGTCTGTAATACAGAAGTTTTTGCAACCAATGTGTATTTTACAGGAGCCATAAGCTGCAAACAGCTGCTGGGACCCTAGGAAGATGTTTAGGGGTGCTCGGAGGCCGGCAGAACTGTTCTCGTCACTACGCCAATCTGCTACATTCTGCAGTTCCTACGTTATTGGCGCTGGCCAGTAATGATAGCGTGAGTGTAACTACATAATTATGCATCTAATTATCTATTTTGTAAACCTTCAAATATAACTAAGCTTGAGTGAACAATACTTTTAAACATGGGTTTCGTAACTTACAGTTGTTTTAAATAGAAAACCACTGTGAGCCTCAGATATATTAACTAAAATGACGGATAACTCATCATATTTAAGTCGAAATTTTGCTTTTACATTTTTAAATACTTTAGCCATTTGGAAAATAAACATCGGACTTGTGAGACTTGTACGTTGTAATGTTTAGTAAATAAAACAGTAAAAAAAAGAAATTTTATATGCATTGATGACAAAATGGGCATGTCCATTCCATACTAAGAGAA